GGAAGGAAGGAAGGAAGGAAGGAAGGAAGAAAGAAAGAAAGAAAGAAAGAAAGAAAGAAAGAAAGAAAGAAAGAAAGAAAGAAAGAAAGAAAGAAGAGGGAAGGAAGGAAGGAAGGAAGGAAGGAAGGAAAAGGACATGCAATGAAACAAAAGCTTTTAGATGGGCCAGGGCCTGCTTACCACACTGGTGCAATAGACACCAAAGAGTGAGCCTAGTATACATCAGCTCCAATACAGTGAACTTTACCACAACCGTCACTGCTCAAAGTGGGCTCCAGTCAATACTTCTACTTCAATAAGGTCCATTTTGCATGAAGGAATTTTAGTGTGAACAGACCTTGATATAATAGGAGCTCCCTGTTCATACTTCCATCTTCACAAATTTTTATCATTCTTTTACTTTCCAAAATATTTTTACATATCATGATAGCTGTGCATTTTCATGGGTAACATAGACAAACGAACACATACGTTGTTGTTAGACTTTCTCAAGTTAACTGTAACACACACCAACACTAAGCACAGCAAGTGGAAACCTTGCCGGACCCTATGCTTAAGCCCATTGTCAATTCCTTGTCACATTGTCACAGTGTCAATGCCACTGAGGGTCTTCCTCAACTTGCTGGCAATTCAGTGTTTCAAGTTTGCTGTCTTTTTCCAAGACATGGACCCTCTTAAAATCATTCCCAAAGTATATGAGACCAAGTCTCCCCATCTTTGCTGTTAAGCAGACCCTGATTCTTTCAATACATGCTGTTTGTTGTTTTGGTGTGGTTATGGTTGTTGTTGTTTTTGTTAGGCGACGCTGAATCAAGTATGACTCATAGCAATCCTCTGAATAACAGATCTAAGCCCCACCCTCTCCTGTATCATCCCCATCGTCTCTGACACAATTGAGCTCATTGCTGCAGTCACTGTGTCAATCCACCTCGTCAAGGGTCTTCCTCTCCTTTGCCGTCTCTCCACCTTCACAATCATGATGTCCTTCACCAAGGAACAGCCTCTCCTAGCAACACACCTAAAGTATGTGAGACAAAGTTTTATCATCTTTGTCTCTAAGGAAAACTCTGGCTGTACATTTTCCAGGATATATCTGTTTGCTCTTTTGGGACTCCACAGGATATCAGTACTCTTCTCCAAAAACACAGTACAAAGACATAAATTCTTCATCTGTCATCCTTTTTCACTGTCCAGCTCTCAGAAGTATAGCAAGTAACTGAAAAGTAGATGGTCTGAGTCAGGTGCACCTTTGTCCCCAACTAACATCATTGCTCCTCAGCAATTTGGAGAAGCTCCTGGTTCTTTTGGTAGTTCATGGTAGTTCATTCAATTATGTTGGTCAACACCGCAGTTCTTTGTGGTGTTGTTAATTATTTCATTTTGATTGGATTCACAATCAGCACTCTTGGCACCAGCAGTCAGGAAATCAAAAGATGAGTTGCTTGGAGAAAGTCTGCAGTCAGGAATCTCTCCAAAGTGCTGAAGACCAATGATGTCAGTCTAGAGACCAAGGTGTGCCTGATCCAGGCCATGATCTTCTCAATTGCTTGTCATGCATCTGAAAGCTGAACAATGACTAAGGAAGAAAAAAGAAGAATCAAGGTGTTTGAGTTGTGGTGCTGGAGAAGAGCACTGAGCATTCCATAGACCACCAAGAGAACAAAAAGGTCTGTCCTGGAGAGGGTGAATCCAGCCTGCTCCTTGGAGGCAGGGATTCTGAACTGTTTCATATTCTTTGGGCATGTTGCCAGGAGGGACCAGTCCTTGGAGAAGGACATCATGCTTGGAAGAGTGGAGGGACAGTGCAGTAGAGGAAGACCCTAGATGGGATGAATTGACACAGTGACTGTGATAATGGGAGCATGTGTGTCAGAGATGGTGAGGTTGGCTCAGATTAGAGCAGTGTTCAGAGCCAATGTTCATAAGGTCACAATGAGTCGTCATCCACTTGATAGCACATAACAACAACAACAACACGCTCCTTTACTGGATCTTTCAGCAAACGCCTGAAGAAATATAACCTATATTGCCAATAAGGGGGAGGTCTGGTGGCCTACTGGCAAGAAACTGTATTGCAATCCCCAAGGCACATGGCTCGAGGCCACCAGCCACTCCACGGGAGAAGGATGGGCAATCTCCTCCTGTGTGATTAACTGCCTTCGAAAACTTTCTGGAGGGTCACCTATGTATGGGTTGGTTCCGACTCTATGGTACACCACAACAACAACAATGCCAACAAGTAAAACTGAGGCACCTAACATTTATTTTTATTCATTCTCCTGAAAAGATTGTGTGTTTTCTGACAACTCCCAATTAAAGTAGATTCGTTAATCTGAGATACACCTCTCCGTATTTTCCTGGAACATTTTTCATTTCTAAAATTTCCGTATAAAATAATTCTCCCTTAGTTTTTCACCACTTTAGGATTGACCAATGTGATCCATCTCATCTTCATTTAACTATAAAAAAGGATCAAAACAAAACGGAAACTTACAAGCAAAGTTTCTAGTAACAAACTGATGTCAAGGTAGAGACTTTACCTGAGAGGTATTTCAAAGTGTTTCTCATTGTTGGATTCCATGGTTGGAAAGGACCCAAATTCAGTGCATGCTTGGTATAACCATTGTCTTTCTGGAAAACAAGACATTATTTAAGGCAATCAGAAGTTTTCTTTTTGTTGATAATCAAATAATAACTTCTTAAAAAAGACTTAAGAATACAAATTTACTTAGTTGCTTTTGGCTTTCTAAGTCAAATTAGATCTCACTATTGTTAATGTTCTTTTTAGTCATGTCAACGATTACTAAACCCAAGAGCAGTAGTGATGGCAAGACCCCATCAGTAGCCCTCTCCTGTCACTCTCAGGGCCACGTCTGCACCCACCCAGAAGAAAGCCTGTCACTGTCTGTCCTGTTTTCACTGTTTACTGGGAATATTTCCCTCTCACTCTGCATCCCTCTCTAGCTCATTTCTGCTTGGAATGTCCCAGATTCCCTCGTCTGAAGATTCTGGAAATGAGAATTTGGTGGTCCTGGATCTCACCATGTCCAAGTATGCAAGACGGAGCTTCACAACACTTAAAATCACATCCTAGGAAACTCTAGTCTGCAGCTCTTTTCTGTAACACACAAGTTGCTATGACATTAAATGTGCTAAATAATAAACTGGGTTGTTCTCAAATGCAACCAGGTTAAGAGAGCTCCTCTACATATGTTCGAAGGAGGCTGAGTTCATTTTTTTCCCCATAAATGACGCTGGATTATTAAAGTATTAAAGGGCACCTCTCTCCATGCTTTCTCTTGTGCTCTAAGTCAGTTCTGACTTGATGGCACCTGAGTTGAGTTGAGCTTTTGGCCTTTCCCCACCTCTAACTAAAGTGATGAATAAGTGTTGTCACGCTCCCTGTCTACTTATTTCATTCTTGACTAGAGCCTCTCACAACACTAATGCAGTCTAACATCCTGCAGCATTTCATTCATGTTTTGGTGCTCACACGTCATCATATAATAGTTTACCTCCAAAAATGTTTTCCTCTGTCAAGACAGGATCAGAAACAAAGTCTAGGAATTTACTGTAACTTGTCTGAAAGCAATCTGCGTTGTTTTCCATAAGCAATATATTTTCAATTTTTGCTAATCTATGATATGGGGATCCCAGTGAGGCGTTGGTTAGCATGTCACAAAAGTTATCAATGCTGAGCTTTTTCTCTTCTCTCTGCAAAAAGGACACAATTATTGTTACCTTTAAGTGAATACACACAGGGCAGTCATCAGCTCCAAATGCAATTCTGTTCCAAAAATCATTTGAAAGATGTTAAGTGATTGATTTTCATTCATATAAGGTATAAATGTTCTTTGGTGACTTGGCCTGGAAAGAAAATCCTGACAAATCATCCACTTACCTAAAGAGCTTGCAGAAGCTATCAGAAGGCAACGTAACTTTGTATAGAACATGTAGCCAAAAAACCCTGACTTGCTTTAACATAGCTCTTTGCACTCTAGTGAATATTTGGCATAGAAGAGTTTATAAACAAGGAAGCTTTAACTGAGTATCTATTACCCTGATGGAACAGTGCTAGATCTCTGAAGAAGCAAGGGATAATAACCAACTGTCAGAAGAGCCAAATCAAAGAAAACATGAAACACACAATGTAAAAAGTTACTCTGTGGCTTATAAAAGCTTTTCTGTGGCTTCTGAGAGAGGCCAGTGGAGACCAGCATTCTGGAAAAAGACTTCCTGACGAGGTGGGCATTGAGGTGGACGCAGAAGGCAGTGTAAGTTTTGAGTAGATAATGCTAACTACAGTATACTTGTTTTTATTTTTTTAAAAGTATGAAATATGTTAAATATTGAGCTACTATACACAAATCGAGCTCTGGTGGCCTAGTGACAAGAAGCTGCACTGCAATCCTGAAGGCAAGCAGTTCGTGGTCACCAGCCGCTCCATGGGGAAAGGATGAGCAACCTCTTCCCATGCGATTAACTGCCTCCGAAAACCCTGCGGAGGGTCAACAATGGGTCGGTTCCGCCTTGACAGTACACAACAACAACAAGTACACGTCAGAGGTCTGAACTCACCAGCCACTTCAGAGTTGAGGCAAGAAGTAGAAATAACTATTCATCACAAATCGTGGCTAGAATGTGGGAACCTTCCACTTTAAAAAAGCAAGAATAGTAAAGATTTGTGGCTGTAAACATGTAAGTAACTTAATGAAAACTACACAGGAGAATTAGTGCAGGAGGAGGCATTGGATTCTATTTGCTGAGGTTTGAGAGGCTGTAAATGTCTCTGCTGATCAAGTTAATTAATTTTAACTTATCTTTTCCTGCAGAAATAACCAACCAAAATGTCATTGCTCAATATGAAATCAACTTGGACAGAATTGCATGAATTCTCTCACTTCACTTGTTTGAAGTCCTAAAATTCATTCTTGGGCATTCTTAGAAAAACAAGATGTTTTACTAATGAGATGCTAATTAGAGAACCGGATTATCTCTCCTACATAATCCTATAACAAGGAAATTATGTAGTTATCTGATGTTGATCCATCTACCTCCAGTATTTTTTAAGAAAAAGAAATAGCTACTCAGAAATCAGACCATTCCTGTCAGAAACAGAACATGCTATTCTAATTAGGAAGCAGTCTGGGGCCTTCAGTTAATCAGTGCATCCGGACTTCACTGGCCTTGGAAGATAATGATGACTGAGCTCAACATCATGAAGCCACTAGAAACGCCACCAGACTTCATATTAAAGACAGGCCTAACTACAATCAATGACTTGGCTTTCTAATCAGATGTCACTCTATTTCTATCCGTAATTGTAGGAAAAAAACATTCAATCCATGACAACTGGGATTATTAGCTCTGTACTATTTTCCTGCTTAGTAATTATTGAGTCATAAACAGATTCACCCTAGAGAGGGTTAAACCAAGCTACTCCTTGGAGGTAAGGATTCTGGGGCTTCGTCTGACATACTTTGGGCATGTTTTCAGGAGGGACAGGTCCTTGGAGAGGGACATCATGCTTGGGAGGGTGGAGGGACAGCACGGGAGGGGAAGACCCTCTATGAGGTGGATTGATTCAGTGACTGGGGTAATCAGGATGGGTGTGTCAGAGGCAGTGCGATTGGCACAGGATAAAGCAGGGTATAGGGCTATGTTGTACATAGGGTCGCTATGAGTCGCAAGCAACTCGATGGCACATAACAACAACAACAACAACAAAGTGCTCAGCCCAACAACTATTATCTTCAGGAGGGGAAAAGAATCTTAAGAATTACACAGAAATTCAAACCAATTCTATGAACTCTGGAATGAGAAAAAAAAAATTTTTTTTAATTTATTTATTTTTTTTTTGTCTCAGAATGAATCCAACTTTCAGCAATGATATCCCTGGTGCCATGACCCCTTCTAAATGCAGCTTGAATGTCTGGCAATTCTCTGTGCATGTACTGTTCTAGCCGATTTTCTAATGATCTTGTTAATGTAGCATTAGGGCACTACTGTGATTCGCCATTGTCAGTTACAAGAGGCTTGTAGCAAAGGGGCCGCTGATCTGTTTTGACTCAAATCAAAGTGTCTGGTCCTGATACCAAAGAAAGGAGGTAGGCAGAGCAGCTTCACGTCTAAAGAACAGCCTGATCTGTTACCTGTACACTCATATTATTATCACATGTGGAACATGAAATGAAGTAAGGAAAAGTACATACAACAAGAGTACAAAGAAAATCCTGGGAGTGGGAGCAGGGGTAGGAGAAACTAGAGGGGGTTCCAGCTGTTTTAAAGAACCAGAAGCCATTTCTTGGGACAGTTGGATACTGAACTGCACATGGTGTAATGTGATGGTTACGAGGATGGAGTCTACTGCAGAGGGTAATCTATTCAAGAAGGGCAGAGTAACAAGGAGAGATGTGCAGCCAAGCACCAGAGCAAGAAATGGCAGGGTTTAGCTGGACCATAAGGTAGGTATTTTGGAAGAATGACAGTTCCTATATGGGAGAGAAAACATGATCATTCTGCTGATGCAGACTGTCCTAAGGATCTTTATAGCAATGGAAGAAACGAGATTAGAAAGTGATCTAGAAGTTTGCATTGAAAGGAGTGACTGGGGATGGCAGGCTACTGGAAGAAAGATGAGAATGTCTATTGAGCATCAGAATGAGCATAGGGAAGGGATGACAAAAAAGGAAGATGGGCTCAGAGTTATCTGTGGTAAGGAGCTGTGCTTCCATCCCAAAAGCTTACAGTTTAAATCTACCAGTTTCTGTGGCAGAAGGATGGTCAGTCTCCTCCCACAGGATTTACCAACTCTGAAGACCCACCGGCAGGTCAGCTAGGGTTTGGTTCTGACCCGACAGCAAAACAACAACATAATCTTTCACAGCACATGTCAGAGCTTCTGGCATGAAACTGCTACCCAAGGGCGTGCAGATGGAAGCAAGGGAGGAAAGAGAAAAAGGGTGAGGAGGGGAAAAGGA